ATCCCCGCGCGGCGCCCTTCTCCAGCGCCCAGGTGGCGGGCCCGGGGAAGCCCGAAGAGGTCTGGGCTCGGCAGCTGGGGAAACAACTCGCGCCTAAGTTTCCAGGGGGCTCCCTTGTTCCAAAGCCCCTGTCCCCGCGGGGCGGAGGCCCGGCCTTGGGGGCTGAGGTGGACCTGGAACCGGGGCGCCGAGACCCCCGCCGCGGCTGCCCGCCAGGCCTTCACTGGCTTTTTGTCTTTCCCCGTGTCCCATCTGCCACCTTGCTTGACTTACTTAACTTTTCCATAAACGGCAACCAGCAGCTTCTAGTGATGTTTGTAGTATTTACATAAAAACGCATGTCGCCCACTCCTATTAAAATGCAGCTCGTGAGAGCTTTGTTTCCCCTCAGTTTTAGATTCGGCCACTTCCCCCTCCGGGCCTCCAAAGGCGAGCGTGGGGAATGAAAGGGAACGGGCGCAGCCTAAAGGTGTGTAGCGCGTGGAAGAGACCCCCGTGTTACAAAAGAGAGAAAGCGAGCCCCCGTCCCGAAGGTTTGCTGCAAAGCGCCTCTCCGCGCCAACTCTGTGCACCCCGCGTTTATCTTCACCCATCCTGATTTAAAAAAAAAAAAAAAAAATCAGCCAGGAAAATGGCCCAGGTAATAGGAGGAAATACAGACTTTTGTCCAGCATCTAGGAAAGAAAAACGCCCGAAGATAAAGACCCACCCGGAGGACCCAGCTCATTTGCACGCGGGCTAGAAAAGCTGAACAGAAGGAAAGTTCATTGAGGGGAGAAGCGAGCTGTTCACTTCAGACTAGGTCAAGCTGCTTGGTGACTTTTCAGGACCCGGAGTTGGCCACAGTGTGAACTAGCGGTGCAGAGGAAGGGTCCAGAATCAGTGTGTGATGGGAGAAGTCCCGTGGCAACCACGTTCTTTGGGTATTTTTTCATTGAGGCCTTTTTGCCTGTCCCCTCCCCCAGTTGCCATCATTTCAGGCTTTGGTGACATGGACCAGTAAATTAAAGGACTGGAACGCTTACTAGAAGGCCTGTCCTCAGCCTCTAAATGACCTGCACGTTACCGCATTTATAACGTTGGCCTCCTAAGAATCCATCCTCAAGTTTGTCAGACATGGGATCGCTTTACTGCCTATTGTGAATATGGTGTGTGGCCCAGAGGAAGTGACAAACGTGGCAGCCCCAATGAGGATCTGAAAGAACCGAACGGTCTGTTCATCCGCAGCCTCTATCCTGTCGCTCACACACACAGACACACACACACCCACACTCAACACACACCAAGCACAAAAGGAACCTTAAATCAGGAGCAATTTCCTCTCCCGATTCGTGCTTTTTGCGTTTGGAGTACAACCATTTGCTTTGATATTTCTTCGTCGGGCCGTTGGGACTCAATAAGTCACCCCCAAAATTTCAAGTGTTATTTCAGTTCAGTAAAATAATGGAGATGTTTTCTTCTTACAATATCAGCTTGATTTTTTTCAGCCATAATATGGCCATTCTGATTTGAATGAAGAGACACTTTTTCTTTGAAAGTGGGGAAATGCTCAGATCACTAAGTGTGTAACATGGGGAATGCATTCCTAGAAAACTCACTTCGTACTTTGTTGTAACAACACCATGCCTGCAGTTTGGGTTGCATAGCTGCATATTCGTGATCCAGTTGATACATAACTTGTTTCCCCTTCTCCATGAAACGTTTTTTTTGGCAGCTGATTTTTTTGAGAAGATAGTGCCTAAGGTATTTGATTGCTAACCAGAAGAAGTCTGGTGGTTCAAACCCACCAGTCACTCCTTGGAAGGAAGACTGGGCAGTCTACTTCCGTAGAGACACCACCGCCGTGGAAACCCAGGGAGGGTCGCTATCAGTCGAAATCAACTCGTCGGCAGTGAGGGTTTCTTTTTTGTATGTGTGTGTGGAATATACCATTTTATTTCATTATGCTGAAGATAAAAGGCGCTTGGTATATTTTGTTATTATTTCTGCCAAATAGGAAATATCTGTATGTGAGTTCTTTCAAATGTTATGCATAGATGGATGTATGCAGTACCACGCTTGTTTTGTACGTATGTTCCTTTCTTGGTCAGTTAATCTTCTGAAACCCCTCCCTAGAACAGGAAGATTACAAGTAAAATAAAGGGAGAAATAGTCACTATAAAAATACTTTCCATATCACCTGCCTTGGGAACTGTAACATGTCCTGCAGATGTACACAGCAATACTACTTTGTAAATATGACATGCAAGGACTAAATTGAATATCTTCTTTGTACCCGAAAGCAAGCGCTAGATTCAGGATATACTGTACTTCAGAGCCCCCCATTTTCTGTATTTCCTTCTTCCACGTTTATCCACCATTCTCTGCTTTGTCAAACATGCATCTCTGTATAAAGTGTGTGATCTGTTTTACAAGGGAGGCGTTGCAAAAACAATCTCAGTATAGTACAGTCGTTATGACTTTAAATACCGACATAGCTTCCTATTATATGACAGGGACATTTATTTTTTATTTCATTTCTCAAGTTCGTGAAATATTCAGTGATTCAGAAATATTACAACACTTTGCTGCAAACGGACTTCGTGTATATAATTGACACTGGCTTAGTCTTGCTGCTTAAACAGGCTTCTTTCACTGTCCTCCAGCCCCTATGGTAATTAGCAGCCATGATCTCCAGAACTGGCCAGAAGAAATCGCACTCATGAAATGGACCGTGGTCAGCACTGGGGGCAGGTCTGCCTGTGTCGAGTCTCACACCAAGGTTCTTCTGGTTACTTCCAGGGAACCCCTGGCCCCGCCCACCCCTGTCTTGGGATCATCAGACAAACCCTTAGAAATGAATTTCCGGGAGTGCATCTTAATAGTTTGTAGGGAGAAGGGAGCCTAGCATTGGACGTTCCTGGATTGTGGAAGAAAATTGAGAACTAGGCACGTATAAAAATAGCGTGAAGAAAGAGCCGTCTCCAAACAAGTGGTCTGTTAACAGAAGTACAGAATCATGTGGGTGAACTGAACTTCTCTGTGAGCACCTCATAAAGATATGTTTTGCACAGATAATATGTCTAATAAGGACACATTTTTTCAAATCACACATTTCCCCCCAGCAGCTAGCGACACTGCGGAATTCTCTTGCGGTCAACTAGCACCACCTTGTGGATGATTTGGGAAATCGCCGCTTTCCCTGTTGGGCTTTTGAAAATGTAAAATTGCCTTGGAATAATGGTGGTGATGATGACAACGATATTAATGACAATAATAACACTTTCCCCCCCTTCCTGTTTTTCAGGCATCTGATGCCAACTCTGAAAAACTCTTCAACACTGTTGTAAACAAAGGTAAGGACCGCCCCCCCCCCCCCCCCAGTAATGGCTTTGTTAATATGTACGTTTGTGTCATCTGTCGTTTTTGCCCAGAAGGAAGGGCTAGAACACAAAATGCTATCTCTTGGCATTCTGAAGCTACTCTTGCTGTTTTGTGTCATTGCTTGAGACCAATCCGTGTGTGCTTTCCTGCGATACACTGACAACCGGTTACTTTGACAAGAATTGTGTTCTTATTTAAGTTAATTGGATGTAGGAAGCAGTAGTAGAGAATACTAGTCTTCAAGATGCCTTAACTTAGCCTTCCTTCAACCTGCCAGCAGTCAGAGAACTGTAAATAGCCATTTGTGCGGTGGACTGTAATGACCAGTGAAGACTTGCCGCTCACAGTGTTCGGTCATCCACCAGCCTTTCTCTGCTGGGTGCTTTCTGTCGTGTTAATAAAGGAACCAAGGGGGCAAAATATAGGTATGCACCCCTCCTGTTAATTGCTTCCCAACAGCAACAGAGTCAGAGAGGCTGGCAATAGAGCAGTGCATGGAGGGAAAATCCACCTTAAATTACTGCCAATAAGTTTCTGGAAGTTTTCGTTTTCTAGCAGTACTGTTGGCAGTGATGAGTTTTAGGGGAGTCACTAGTCAGTGGTTTTGCAAAGATCCATCACTTGAAAGGTAGGGATTATATAAACCATTTGCCCTTTCCCATTGCACTGGGGAAAGCCTGGTTTAAGGCTTTACGACTTGCAAAGTAAAGTAAGCGGGCTTTCCAGGAATCCGCCTCTGTTACACTAGGTAGCACCTGAGCCTGGTGGGACCTCCCCAGGCCGTGGGACAGCACTTCAGCATGCTGTAGTGGCCTTGACCAGCGATCTTTGCTGGCTGGTGAGGGAAACACATCTCTGCGTACGGTTATCTGGAGCTGCGAGATGATGTTTGAATTCGAACCAGCTGCCATTTTAAATGCGACATTATGTTTAGGGTTCCCGTGAGGTGTCTGGGCTTCTGTGATTGCCGATCCTCCCGGAATTTACCACCACGTTGAGTTTCTCTGTGCTGATTGCGTAATGGGATAGTCCAGATTGATATTTCCGCGTATCTTTTGACAGACTGCAAGTTTGTATCCATTTGCCATCCTTAAAAAAAAGCCCAGTGATGGCCACAGGTTTAGCGCTCCCGTGTAGAGGTGTGTGAGGGTGGAATGCTCCTTTGGAGGAGGGAAGCTCACTGAGACGGTGCTGCAGCCCTGGGACAGAGGAGGTGGCCGGAGGGGGAGGTGGCGGTCGCACAGGTCACTTAAAGGAGGTCCTCAGGTTCAGCCAAAGACTTGTAGCATCTTTCTTTTGCTCATTTGCCCGAAAAGCTCTGGAGTGTGTCCGCTTTATGGGGTCGGGCCCTAAGTGAGCCTTGGCTCTGGGACCTGCCTTCTGGCAACTGCCACCCTCCTCAGACTGAAAGGCCCTTTTTGGGGGCGGGTGGTGGTGGTGGTGCATTATTGATGACCATTGGCGTCCCTCAGCCTCTGTCTCCCTCCCCCTTCTCCAAGCAAACATTTCCCACATGCTTATTTTTGTTTACTTTCCGAGTGTGATTTGCGGCATCTATTTGGTTGTGAATAGCCGTCCCCTGGCTGAGGTGCCTTTCTTCGGAGCTGCTTTTGGGGGGTGACTTCTGCCTTGAAAAAAGGATTCGGTTTTGTGCGCACGAAAATCAACACGGGCCTTTTCTGAGCTTTGCTTGGGAAACCAGACACAAACCAGCATTGTGGCTGGTGGCTGGGTTGCACCTCGCACCAATTTCCATCAAAATGCCCTCTCCTTTCTCCTCCTCTTAATGCCTTATGCTAATGGTTGCTGGAAACATGAATGACAAGAGCTAGAATCTGCAAATCCAGGTGCTACAAAGAAGACTGACTGGTATCCAGCCACCCCCCTTCCTCCCCTGAAGAGATTAAGCTGGGAGGGGAAGGGGAGGAACGCGTTGGGGCGCAGTTTTGTTAAGGGGATTAGTATTCAAACTGCTAAATATCAGGAAAACAACTTCAAAAAGAGCTTGACGGCCTGAGGAGCAGTCCAGTAATTGCTTTGAGACAGGTGCAGAGCGGCTTGTTCTGTGCCTGGGGTTTAGGGTCTGTTTTCCCGCCGGGTGGTGGCCATGGTGACTGGATGGATGGTTGACTAGGGCCTTCGAGGAACTGTCAGCTTCAGGCACATCAGGTTCAAGTTCTGCACAGCTGCCTGCCCTGGAGTCAGGTCTCCAGCCTTTGTCCGCTCCTCTTAGCCAAGAGCAGTCAAAGAGCATTGCAGGAAAGGACGCTTGTGCACCGGGTAACACATGCTGCAGGGAGACTCATCAAAGCCTCGATTATTGACCAGTCCAGCACGAGTGCCGGGAAGCTGACGCGTGTAGCCCTTCACGTCCAGATGTTTATAAAGGCACAGATCACCTCCGCCTCTGAGGAGGCCAACTGCGCTCTTCCCCAGAGAGGCGTGGCTTTAAGCTGCTGTTGAGAGGACGTGGGTGAACCTGGTGGCAGGCAGAGTTGGCCCATAAATTTCACTGTCGGGGGGGCGGTGCTCATCTCACAGCTGAGGTGGCCCTGGGGGGGGGGCAGCGGCCAGGGGGCAGCTTTAATGCTGGTCTCTGCAGACTGTAGACAGCAGGAGCCCTGGCTCCAGCCCTATCAGGCTGTTGGGTGAACTCGACTATGTCCTTTGACCCTTGAGGTCAGGATTTTCAGTGATAACAGCACCTCCTAGTCTGGGGCCCCCATCTCTACTGGGCATGAAATAATTACCTGGCTGGGAGAGGGGTGGAAACAGAGCAGGTACATGGAGTATGTTCTGTGTTGCGTCTGCCTGTGGATTGGGCTTGGCCTTTCCCCATGCTGCTCAGTCCCCCCAGTTTCATGGCGAACTTGGGAGATGCTGGTGTTACGATGTTCCCAGGCCACGCTTGCTTCTGATACCTTTTTATTTCCGTTCCACAAGTTAAACAGCCTGTGCTCATGTGAGCACACGGTGCACCCAATGAGCATTGAGCATTTTCAAAGAGGGGGGACGTGGAGCCTGCAGGTGACAAGGCTCAGGGTTGTCACACGAAGAAAAGTTGAGCTTACATCAAGATCACAGGTGCCCTAGTTGATCTTCACGTGTTTAAATGTTTACAGGATGTTCATGTGTGAGTTTTATGAATCCTTCTCTCTGTGTGACTCAGCCATCTGCCAAAGGAAAAATTCGTTTTCCCAGTGAGACAGACACACACACACACATAGTGACTGACTGTTGCAACTACTGCCCCTTTGTGGTTGGTTGAACCCTACTGTAGGAGTGGCAGGACGTCTACCCCAAAGTACCCCAAAAGAACTTTCCAGATAATACTGTACGGTCAGTATTTACCGTTTCTTGGTTCAAACCCACCAGCCACTCCTCAGAAGGAAGGTTGGGCAATCTACCACCTTCGAAATTCAAGGAGGGGTCGTTATGAGTCGGATATGACTCGACAGCAGTGGGTTTGGTTGGGTTTGATTGCCTACGCCAGGTCTTGCTTCTTGGTGGTTCTGCCACTTTGATATATAGACAGAAATACAGAAAGTGAGTTTCTCTTGGCTGGACACCATCATCCAGCCAAGAGAGTCCATCTCTTTCAAAACTCTTAATTTGCCCCAGGGCACAGTTACCTGGGAGGAGGAATGGTAGTCAGGTGTTGTCCTTGTCGGAAGCCTGGTTTACATGTTGTCAGCCCTGGTGTGTGTGGAGTGTGCTTTGGGTTAGGTGTTGGCTGCTGCAGAGTCGGGGAGCAGAGGGTTGGGATCGGACTGTTGTCATCAATAGGGTTCCTGTTAGCTGACTTCTTGGAGGTGAATCAGCAGACCTTGAATTGCTGCCCCTTCTTGCCTCCCACTCCTCCATCCTGCAATCAAGACAAGTGACAGATCTGAGGTGGCCGAGAGGAGGGTTCCACCCTGTGGCCTGCTTGTCCTGTCTCTTTCCTGTTTCCAAAGGTGAAGACCTTTGTCTGCTCTTGTAGAAGTTGCCCCTCCTGGGGAAAAGCCCTTTGAATTAGCTAAGAGTGTGCCTGGCTGACAGAACATGTCCAAAGTGCTGGGTCAGGGCTGTGATGCCCCTGGTCGGGGGACCCCTGACTTCTCTTCCCTCCTGCTGTGAGCTCCCAGTATCCACTGACAGGCACCTGACAAAGGCACCCCACCCACTTCAGCCTTGCCAGCCAAAGGGATTCTGGTGGACACCCACACCCATGCACCCCATGGATTGAACGCTCAAGTCACCTTGAGCGGTTTCTCCTCTTGGAAGCCCTCTTGGGGCTTTCCCTTGGGGCTGGGTTTGACGGAGGATTTCCAGTGGGACACAGAGGAGCATTAACGACTGATGACACAGTGCTTAGCTCTGCAGGGCTGGTGGGTATATTTGACCATATGCTTTTATCAGCAGCGTGGAAAGGAAACCTGGCTAGAAGAAATTGCTTAAGAGCTAAGGAGACAAGGTGTGAAACCGGTTACCATGAGATGTTGCTGGTGTGGTGAGAATCAGGAGCTGGGTCCCTAATGACAAAGAGATTCGTTAGGTTTAGACAGGAGGGAATTCCTTGCTTGAGTTGGTGACAAAAAAGAGAAGAGTTCTGTTACCACTGAGACCGCTGGTTTTTTAGAACAACCCTTCTCCTAAAACAATGCCATGCTTTTTATGTAAGTGGAAGTAACACAGTGCACTGTGGGATAGCTTTCTACATAATTTTTTTTAAAAAAAGGTTTAGAGTTTAAAATCCCTTTCTAATGAACATATGGAGACCATTGCAAAATTCCTTGCAGCAGTCTTGGACTTAGTTGCAATGAGGCCATGCACCCACCACATTCCTGACGTGCAGAGGAGTGAACTGAGCCTTTGTAAATGAGTTTGTGTTTTGGTTTGGGATTTTTACTGTTCTTTAGCATCCTAAATCCTAGATAAGGGCAAGTTGGACTATCACTCAGTCTTTATTTTTCTTCCTCTGGAGCAGTTG